TTCTTATTTTTAATTAGTCTTTTTTATTTTATTTTTGCAGAACTGGGGATTGAACTCAGGCCCTTGCGCTTGCCAGGGAAACACTTATTCTACTGAGCCATCTCCCTGGCCCCTTTTAATTAGTTTTTGCCTGCCTAGCATCTGAGCATAACGTCTTCTAATTTCTCAATTCATAAAAGGCAGAGCCCACCGAGGAACACCAGAGCAAGAATGCTGCAATCCACTTTTTGAGCTTCCTAGGAGGAAGGACACGGGAGGTGGCAGACGGCACAGCAGCAGTGGCGACAGAGTCTCCAAGTCCAGTAGTGGCAGGGGAGTCCAGGTCTAGCGCCAAGGACAGCGCCATGAACCTGGGGGGTGCACATGCTCATCCTGGGTGGGCTTTGCATTTTTGGCTGTGTCCTAGCGACACTCCACTCTCTCTTTTCCCTGCTCACCTTTACAGCATAGTTATGTGAGATCTCCTAACATTTATTTGCACCAATTGATATCTTTTCAATAGGTTTTTTTTTTCTACATTAAAAAAAAAAATCCACTGCAGTTTCTATTGATTGTAACTAAGGGTACTATTTTGGGAGTTGGTATCAGGAATCAAGATGCTTGGAACAACAGAGCCTACAGTGTGAGTGGAACCAGTAATGGAGGTAAGGGGTAAGCAATAGAGCCACAGAGGTCTGAGCTGGGGCGTTGGGGCTCCCTGCTACTTCATTTATTTATTTATTTGGTACTGGGTCTTGCTATGCAGCTCAGACTCCTAATGACCTTCCTGTCTCAGCCTCCCCAGTGCTGGGATTGCAGGTGTGTGCCACCATGCCCAGTTTTGATGACTGGTACCGTGCGTCTGGGGTTCCAGGGATGGCACAGCATGCAGTACTGGTGATCAAACCTGGGTCCTTGCACTTGCCAGGCAAGTGCTTAGACCACTGAGCTATCTCCCCAGCCTGGTAGTTGCTCATTTCTTAAAGTATTTACCAAAGTTAGAGAAGAACCAATAAGAAAAAGAAGGGTTAAAAATCAAAAGATGATCTTTCTAAAAGCAGGACATAAGAAAAAAAGGGGGGGCTTTATTAACAAGGTTCTTCAAGAAACAAGATTCTTTCTGTCTGTAGCCTGTAATCTAAGTAACTGGAGCATAGAGTCATTTGAAACTGTTGGATCAAAATAATTTAATTGTATATTTGAAGATAAACTTAACAAAAGAAGAGGTATTTAGGGAGGAGCAGGTGTCTGGCATAGACCGACTTGAGATTCCACACAAGGCCTGAGATGTCAAATGGGTTCAAAACTGGGGCGGAGAATGTCTAACTCTAGGCTTGCCACCTAGGGTAAACAGAGAACTAAGATTTAAAGGTCTTCTTGAGAAGTGAAAAATCTCCTCAGGGCAAGTACCTCTGGGTATCCCAAGTTACTCTGTAACAGCATAACCAAACATTGACCATGTTTCTTTCAAATTGAATGCTATTTATATAGAACTGTACTTAAAAAAAAACTTTGATGGTTTCCATTCTATTGTGCAAAGCTCAGAGACCTTAAAAAAAATCATTCTTTAATGTTACTGTTTTTTACTCTGCAAATAAAATATTCATTCTTTTATAGAATTATTCCTGAGTGTTGTACATAAAATAAAGACTTCACCCTTCATTCACTCTTCTTCTAGAGAGAGAGAGAGACAGAGAGAAACTGAGGCACAAAGCCTCAATCAGGTCTGCAGGTATGAGGAGGATCAGCTCTCAGAATAAAGTACAGATAGCCAAAATGTAAACTCTTCCAGACTTTGTGGCTGTAGTCAGCTATCTGCGGGAGACACTCAATGTTTCAGTTTCCCATCTTGGACTTCTACTGTCTGTCCTAGCCAGGGGTGAGCTGTCCGAAAGTCTGGTCCATTTCATCTGCTACATCACAAAGACAGCTGTGCCAAGGAGCTCTCTGGCTGTGCCTATGCCAGCTGTATAGCAGGCTAAACGCCTGGGGACCGTCCCTGCCATGTCCATCTCCCCATGTGCATGGTGACACAGCAGCCAAGAGCTGCTCCAGAAAAGGGTGCAGGTGTGCAGAGCACCTGTCGCAGAGGACTTGGGGCCTGTGGCCACGTTCAGTGGTCAGTTGGTTTTTTGCATCTTCCTTCAGAAAGTCCCTTCACTGGGTTTGGGTGTCAGCTCTCTGGAAGTGTCACACTGGCATAGACTGTGATGGCATTTGGGACCTGTGGACAAAGCAGCAGTCATGAGCAAAGAGATGGGGCACAGGTTTTCCAGGCTGTGAATAGAATCAACATTGCTTAGGAAAAGGACAGGGTCTCTGTGATCATGCAGCATGACAACTTACTGAGGGTCTGTCCTAGACAGCACCATTAGGGGCAGTACTCAGTGGCCCAGACTGCTTGTTGTCCTTGAAAAGGGCTGCAGCTCCCTTGCAAGCATTAACGTACAATCCAGAACCCCAGAAACCCAAACACAGTGCTCTGAAGACCTGTACTCAATATACTACCTCTCCATCTTCCTTGCCCTGTCCTCCCCTCCCTTCCCTTCCCCTCCCTTCTCCTCCCTTTCCCTCCCCTCCTTTTCCCTTCCCTTCCCTCCCCTCCTCTCTCCTTCCCTTCCCTTCCCTTCCCTTTCCCTTTCCCTTCCCTTCTCTTGTAAGGAAAACTATTTACAGGAGAGAAAACAATAATTAAAATTTTGAGCTTTAAAAAATTCAAACAAGACCCAAGGAAAGGGCAAAGAGTAGTACCAGCAGGAGAGAGGCAGGGAATGGAGAAGAGAATGGTGGGTAGAGACTTCCCATAGCCTGAGGAGATTCAGAGAAAGAAAGAGAAGGCAACAGGCATTATAGGCGGTCTTACTGTAAAATGTAAATATAACCTAGTTTCCCTTTCCCAAGATAACTTTATTTAAAAATCTATCTATCTGTCTATCTATCTATCTATCTATCTATCTATCTATCTATCTATCTAAGTTTTTCCAGTCAGATTTATATTTTTCACTTCCATCTTGGATATGATAATGTGCTGACAATAGATGTCAAGATGAAGGTCTAAGACCCCATAGTGGGGCATGCCTGTAATCCTAGCACTGAGGAAGGCTGAGACAGGAGGACTGCAAGTTTGAGCCCTGCTTAGGCAATTTATCTTGTCCCCAAAAAAAGGGGGGCCTGCAGCTCATTGGTGGAGCACCCCTGGATATGGGAGGGGGGGTGGCTCAGGCATATTTGGATGTACATGCAAGAGAATCTGTGAAGGACAATATATGCATTTGTGTAGCCCTTTTCCTTTGTAATCCTGGCTGTTTCCTAGAATTACTTGCTTAACAGAGTCCAACTGGAGTCAAAGTTTAAGCCCAGAATATGTTTATGTTTATTTAGTGAAGGAAGGATTCCTGCCAGAAGCAAGCGCAGTCTCTGCAGGATCTCACAGTGGGTTAGAGGAGGCAAAGCTCACTCTCGGGGGCAGACTGTGCTAGCCGAGCATCTCTACCACGCTCCCGTGTGTATCCTGTGGCTGTAAATGTCTAGATCTGGGCATCTTTTATGATTATATAACAGTGGTTTTTTTTTATTTTTAAAAAAGCATTTATTTATTTATTTGGTGCAGAGTCTCTTTACGTAGCTAAGACTAGTGATCTTTCTGTCTCAGTCTCCCCAGCAGTGGGATTACAGGCATGTGCCACCATACCTGTTTTCTTTTTTTCCCCCCATAATTTTATTGATAAACAAATAGCAATGAGACAGTTTCAAATCAAATTGGTAGGACAGTTTCAATAATTAACACATTGCATACATTCTTCCTAGTGGTTAATTGCTGAACAAGATGCGGACAAGATATCCTATTTACAAACACCATTAGAACAAATCCCTCTATTCTTTAAGAGAATGTAACTATATATCTATCCTAACCATTTTGAATACACAGATAGAAAATGGACATTCATCTGTATCTCTTTTTTGTTAAGTTCCGTTATTTGAATATTATAGGTGTGTGAACTCAGCAAAATATTCTAAAAGAGTCCAGTAGCCCATAATAGTATTGGGTCTTCTGCTTGACTGGCAATGTCAGAAATTGTTGACCTGAGTCCCCTACAGCTCAACATAACAGCATGGCTCTACTTCTTATATTTTGTTTTTATACTTTTCTGCTGGATGGTTAGCACAAAGGTAAAGCAGGACCTATGCAACAAGAGTTGTAGCTTTTGGATCTGATAAGGTCAGTGAAATCCCCTCAGGATTTATCCCGAGATCCTGCACCTCAGATTGTAGATCCTTTGTCTGTGTCAGTCATGTTATAACATTGTTTTACATTAATTTGTATTAATACCTATAGTGGTACACAGGAATGGGCTAGAGTGGAATACTTCAACACAGGGTGTGAGCACCTTTACAAAGCTCTCTGGGGACTGTGTTTTGCAGGTGGAGTCGTGAATCCCTGCATTAACTGCAGCCACCACGCCTAAGCGTACACCAGAATCACCTGGCCCCTGCTCTGACTGAACAGAGTCCTGGGTGGCAGGCCCAGGGCATCTTGCCTTTTAGTCAGTGAGGGCCCATTCTGACATGGTCTTTGGAGAACCAGAGAAACACAACCAAAAAGGGGTAGGCACAGCTCATTCCACATGAGCAGGACGTGGGGCTACAAGGAAGCCCTGAAGCCACAGCCACAACTTCTCCTTACTGGGTTTGCTGTGGGCTAACTTTCCAATCCAGACCTCGATGATTGGTTTCATTTCATCTATGCCAACAAGAAAAAAAATCTCCCTCACCCTCTGCCCCCAACCTATTCCCTCTTTAGATTGTCCCCTCTGTACAGTGAGGGGCACAGATGCCTCACCGGGGCAGGCTCTGGAACAGGCTCTGAGGCGGCCATGTAAATGGTGGTGCAGGGCTCCTGAATTGGCTGGGGCTCAGGTTTCTCCTGGAGAGGCTGCAAGGGAAGCAAAGAAGAAGATCAGCCAAGCAGACAGCGCCTTCCCATACCATTCTCCCATTGAGAAACACAGGTTCAAGATGTTTAAGTTGAAGGCTCTTGGGAGTTATTTGGTCCATCTCCCCCCATGGGAATTCTCTCCTAACTGCCCTGGAATTCAGCTCTCCAGACTTTCACTGGGCTCCACGGGTGATGCTGCAGAGCTCACAGCCTCCAAAGACAGCCTCCTTCACTGTCAGCACTTCCCAGGGGTTTTAGAGATCGGCCTTGCCATGGGGGCCATGGGAGGGGCCAAACTCTTCGGAGAACTTGGTCTGGCTCCCTCCTGCCACTGGGTACATCAGCATTGATTCAGTCCCACGCTACCATCCCTGCTATCCCTCACCCTGGCATACGTCCTCCCATGGACCTCACAACCACTCTACGTGTCAAACATCATCATTACTTACATTTGACAATGAAGAAGCTCAAGCTCAAAAAAGCTAAGCACTTTCCTACCGTACATATGCATCAAATGTCAAAACCAAGAATGCCACCAGGGGCTTTGAACTTCAAGGCTATGCTCTTTCCAGGACTAGTCCTCTTTGGTTATTTAATTTTATATCCTTCACCTGAATTTCTCAGGTATTTAAAGTCCAATTCACACATGGCAACCGAACGCTATATTTGAAACACTCGCATATCTATGCATTATTTCCCCAAACAGATAGAAAGTTCCTTAAGAAATAACCTGTGTGTATGGCTGGGCATAATTCCAACTGCTTGAGAGACTGAGACAGGTGGAATGTGAGTGGGAGGCTGGCCTAGGCTATGTAGCTTTCTTTATGTTCTCCCACAAAAGAGGGCTGGGGACATAGGAGCACTTCAGTTAATACTTGTTGATATGTGAATGACTTAAAGTCTATAATACCAAGACAAGCTAGTGGAGGAGTAAATTGAGATACTATTCCTGTGAGACGGGAATGGTACAACATATGATAAGGACATCCTCTCCCAACATACTTTAGGGACAGCGGTCTAGTTTAATACTGTTGCTGTTTTCTCCAGATACTTGGCCAGAGTTCAAACCACAGCACATGTGTTTAATGGGAGAGTAAGAATGGAAAACTTTACTGGACGTTCTTCCCCTTCACATATTTGACAGATTGCCACATAGGAGAGGACACTGTCTTACAGCCTTTCTGCTGCGAGTCAGAAGTATTTTGTGTCAGCAGTGAGGCTCTTTCTAACAGTAAAATATGCTCAGGGGTGAGAGGAACTGCCCTGGAACAGAGTGTGCGCCTCACTCTGGGCACGTGTGGGCCTGGGCTAACCCAGGGCTCCTCACACTGCTTCTGTGGGCAGGAATTACCGTGGTCCTGCTAGAAGGCTGATTCTTTTCTGAATGACTGTTTATATTATTTTAGTCTTTATAACGATATAATATAGGCACTGAAAATATAAGCAAAGGAAATTTTAAGGCTATGCTTACGTCTATGTACATATTGAAATCTAAAACAGTATTATGTCTTCTATGTATAAAATATATATGAAATCAAAGTAGTGATCAAAAATAGCACGTAAGTCAAGAGCTAAATTATAGTGGAGTTAAAATTTATAGTGCGATATAAATGGTCTAAATAAGAAATGCCAATGAGTCAGAATGCATTTTATAATTTTAAGGGTGAGGCCAGGCCAAAGAGCTCAGTGGATTAAAGCACCTGCAAGCAGGTGCAGGGGCTGAGGGTTTAATCTCTGGGCTTGTCAGACTGGCCCTGCCCCTGGGGCAAACTGAGATGGACACTGAGACTACCTGTAATCCCAGCTCTTGGGAGGCTGTAAACAGGAGAATCACTACGAGTCTGATCTAGTAGTAAGACCCTGAACACCCTGTAGACCCTTCCTTAAAATACAGAAAAAAAATAATTTTAAGGGTAGCAACTCATAAAACAGAGATACATAATCACTAAAGTAATGGAAGAGAAAATGGAATAATAAAAATACAGTTTAAAAAATTCTTCACCAAAGAAATTCCAGTTTAAGAAACCACCATCAGTAATTCTGCCATATGGTTAATAAAAGTAAAGCAGTCTTACCCAAACGTTCATAGAAAATTTAAAAAAGGGAAAATACCAAGTAGTGGGTTGAATTGTGACTGCCAAAAGATATGTCTGCCCAGAATCTCAGAACATGGAATAAAAGGTCTTGCACATGTAATTCAAGTAGGCATTTCAACACGAAGTCACCCTAGCTTAGGATGTGTCCCAAGTGCAGTGATGAATGCCCACCTAAGAGATGGAAAAGGAGAGGACACAGAGACACACCGGAGGAAAGTCCTGTGAAGACAGAGGAGGAGATGACACTACTACAGCTGCAGAACAACAGATACCAAAAAATGCCCAGAGCTACCAGATGACAAAGAGCCTGCTCTGATAGTGTCCCTAGAGGGTATGTCCTGAAACTTGTCACCGTGATTTGGACTTCTGGTCTCTAGAACTGATAGAGGATGCATTCTGTTGTTACAAGCCACTGTATTTATAGTGATTTGTTAGGGTAATCTTGGGAAACTAACATGAGTTCTGGTACAGATAATGCTGCAGTGGAGTAAGGACAAGCTCTTCAGTAAGTGGTCGACAGATTATCCATGTAACAAGAAAATAAAACCTTACCTCTCTAAGCCAAACTCCAAAAACGACTTTCAGGTATGTAATAGACAAATGTGAAAGATATACCATAAAGCTTTCTCAGATGGAGCACAAAAAGTGATAGGTATAAAATAAAAGATCATTAAGTTGTTCTACAGAAAAGTTAAGAACTATCGATAGATATCTCTAAAAATTTACAGTCAAGTCACATCATAGATTCTATAGATGCAACTGATCACATCCAAAATCTGAACTCATTTATCATTATCTGTTCAGATATCCAAAGGATTCATATCTAAAACATATAAAAACTTTATACTAATTCATTTTTTAAAAACCTAAACTTAAAGTTTTAATAGGCACTTTAAGAAAGAGGATTTTAATATGGTCAATAAATATATGAAAGTTGCTTAATTTCCTTAATGATTTAAGAAATGCAAAATAAAAACATAATAAAATACATTCAACAGTATGGCTAAAATTAAAAAGGCTGATAATATCCAGTTTTGCCTAGACTGGGGGGCAACTGAACTTCGTTTATAGAAATGAAAACTGGTACAGACTTGGAAGACCAGTTTGGTCTTATCCACTCAATTTGAGCATATACATACCCTACCACTCAGCGATTCTCCCACTAGCTATCAAACCAACAAACATATGTGTGCAAACCCGTCAGAAAACATGCATAGGAATGCTCACAGCTGCAATTACATGATGGCCTCTAAGTAAAAATAACTTGAACGCCCACTGATAGTTAATGGTATGAAAAAACTTGCATACACACACACATTCTTGTTCTATAAAACAATGAAAATGAATGCATTCATATATATTTTAAAGAAGTGTGAATTTTGTGAAATTGAGGAAAGAAACCAGTTATGAGAAGAAAAACAAGAGGATCCTACATTTATACACTAAAATAAAACTAAACTTTATTTCCAGAAGTCAGGAAAATTTGTTATCTTTGGAGAGTGTGAAGGGAACACTGATGGATGGAGGAGGTCTCCTGGAGTGGCTGGCATATTCCACTCCTTGATCTGGGTGGTTTTATGACCTCAGAAGACTCAGTAGTGGTTATTCAGGACTGAAGGATGTCATTTCTTTGTAAATAGATTGGCAGACTCAGTGCCATGGAACAAAGTTTTCTTCACTTAGTGCTTGAGAAGCTTATTGTTAAATATGTATGAAAGTTTAACAGGACAAGAATAGCCAAAAATTTCTGAAGCAAAACCTGCGGAAGGAAGACTTGCTTTACCACAGTGGCACCTGAAGGTAATTCACTAGGCAGATGCTGATGTGTGGTGTGCTCTTTATTTTTGCATACAGTAGCAAAAACAGGGAATGCTAAGGCTAGTAGCAAGGCAGGGAAGGCACTCTGGTAAAGGCAAGCCTCACCTAAGTGCATAATGCAAGGGGCTAGAGGCTTACTTTGTGTTTAGATGGAACAACTTAGCCCCTAACAGGTGACCACAAGTTGTACAATAAGCCCTCTGGTGCACAGGAGAGAACAGAACTAAGAGCTTTGGCTAGTTATTTATTTCCTAATTTTCAGAAATGAATGGATTGGCTTCTGATGAAATTTTTCAAAATAATAATCAAGTCTATCTTTATCTGCATATTCTTTAACCCCGAATCTGTGCCTCCTACTCCAAATGGCCGGAGGAGGGCCACCTAGAATTGACTTGGGGTCTGGAGAAACTACATCTCCATGTTTAGCCGCGATCCTTTCAGCCTCCTCCTCCCTTTGTCCAGCATGCCTACTCCTCAAGTCCAGCTCGTCTGCAGCTTGCCCATCACTCTCTGTAGTCCAGTGGTCACTCCACCACAGTTTTCCTGTCTTCCACCTCAACCGCACTCTAACCAGAACTCTCTGGGTCCTTCTTTCCTTGTCACTTTTGCACTTTCCAAGTGCCTAAACTCTCATCGAGCCTGTGCAATGCACAGTGGCTTTTCCAAGCCTTCCTCTCCTCCTTAAACTTGCACCTTTTTCCCTGGAGCAGAGTTTCACTACATGAACAGTACAGTCCTAGAACGTCAGAGGGAGAAAGAGTCATGTGTCATGGGTTTACAGCTTCCTCATATTTTCCCAAACAGATGACCAGAAAAGTATTCTTGTTATTTCCAATAATATGACACTGGTGTCATGACCTTTAATAGCACTCTTGTCCTTGGCTTTTGATTCCCTAATTTTATCTGCTCTAGAACCTACGTGGAACCATGAATGTCAGATGTGTAAGGAGAGCTGGTCACAAACCCTACAGAAAACAAGACAGGTCTTTCCCGAGCAAAGTATAGAACTTACACCTGATTTCTGGACTTGGGCATAGATAGTAAGGCTTTTTTCTTCCATCGCTGGCTGAAAATGTTTTGCTTTACCTAGGGAAAAGAAACCATAGTGGTTATCTCCCTGTGGGCCCCAGCATATGCTCTCTGAGTGGGTCTATTTGGTTTAAGTCCCCACTGCTTACCCATCGTCCCCCAAGACACTGAGTTAGTTACTTGACCTGCCTAGCTCTATTTTCTTACCTGTGAAGTAGATTTGAAATATCTGATTCACAGGGATATTGTGATAACTAAGTAAGTTATTGTTTGCAATGTGTAAATAACAGTGCCCAGGACATAGTACGTGTCGGGTGTTATTCTCATGGGTACATTCATTTATTTTAATTTCTATTGTATATGCATATCCAGTCTCCTAATAGTGTTCCAGATCCTAGGTTTTTTTTGAGAGTAAGAATGGTTATTTACACCTTGCTTGCTTTCTCCAGCTGGTAGCGTGCTGCTTCCCTCACAGCTTTCTTCCTGCCCTATTTCTGGAGGACTTGGTGTGAATGTATATGGGGTGGGGCTGGTGGTACAGGAGGGATGGTCCACCTGGGGCTACATGGGAAAAAAATTGCAATATCACTGTATTGCTCTCCAGCTGCGAATTTTGCTTAGGGTCTTGGGCCTTTGTGAGCTAATAAATTGCAAAACATTTCAAGTTTTAGGCAATTGTGAAGTTTCCTTTTTAAATTATAAGAGTAACTCACTCTTATTGCAAAACGTAAAATTATAAAAAGGTCATAGAGTCTAATGAAAGGTTGTGGCATTAGAATTAGGACATCCTCACTCTGTCATTAGCTATGTGACAATGGAAAAATCAAGTCATCCCTATAACTTTTACTCTTTTTTAGACAGGATCTTGCTATGTATTTGAAGGTAACCTTAAACTCATGTAGCCAGGCTGGCCTTGTATTCATTGTGATCCCCTTGCATTGGCCTCCCAGGTGCTGAGATCATAGGTGTGTGCTGCCACTCCTGGCCACAGCTGACAATGCACACTAATGTCTTGCAGCTCTTATCTAAAGCATGGAGTTGTCCTGCTTTAAGTACTTTAAGCCTACTTTAAGTATTATTTCTAGATTCTTCCAGTGCAGCCCTCTCCTTGCTACAGGACTTAAACGTCACTGTTTTAACTCGCCTACATTGTTAAATTTGTCTATGTGTGTATTCATGTATGCATGCATGCATGCATGCATGCATGCATGTGTCATCCATGGAAGTCATCATGTTCAGTGCTTTCTGTGTACTGGCTTTCCAGTCTCCACGGCACACTATGATGTAGCTGAGACTGAAGGCATGTGTCATCATGCCCAGCCCAAAGCCATGCTCTTGAGCAATAAGTGTTCTCCGGAGACACAACTGCCAGAGCCAATTTGAAGGTATTCAGAGGGAGGCTGGCCCCTGGAGGTCATACCATGAGAAGCTGCCAACAGATCTCTTAAGTAATGTTTTGTGACAGGTATAGCAACTCAATGTAGATTTTACCATCGATTTGAAGTGCATGCCACTGGCTTACAAAGAATAAATGGTGATGAGAAATGAGGCTGGGTGTGTGTGATGGGGGAGGTGGTAAGACACGGTGATGGAGTCGGGAGTACTGCTTTCCTCAAGATTAACCATGTGCTTAGCACAAAGAGTATAGGTTAGAATTCTGGCACCACTGGGGACCAGGCTAATGTGGGTGAGTCTAACACAGTTCTATCATCTCTGGTATCTCACTGTTTTCTTATAATAGAAGCCGAATGTGGTTGCTCTGCCCCACAACCTCAGGATCGAGACAGCATTTCTCTCTGAATCACTCAGCCTTCCCCACTCTCTTCCTCTGTGAACTCTTCAGTGGAGGAAATGAGACAAAAGGCAGCTTGCTGTGATCTACATTTTCTTATGTAAGCAAAACTAACATCACAGTGCTGAGGTAAGGATTTTTTTCTAATATGTGGGTAACACTGATCTACTTGAGAATGAGATCAGCCCTCATCAATTTGGTGACAGGAATATTAAGTTCTCCCCTTACCGGGAAAAAGTTAGGCAGAACATCTGTGACAGTTCTGAGGAAGGATATTCTGACTCCTGTGTGAGTTGGTGACAGTGTGGCCCCGGGAAGCACACTGGCCTGTGATAGTGAATCAGGACGATATGGAAGAAAGGTGGGGACACACCATGCTAAAGACCTAAATCACAGGAGAATAATGAAGCCATACTGCTCTGTCTCTATTGTGGGAAACTTTTGGTTGGAGAGCCAAGAATTCTCTGAACTCTCCTCCCTAGTGAATACTGCTAAGCGTCTTTCAGGATCCCTTCAGCATCCTGTACATATCTTTCCAGCAGTTAGCAGAAATTATCTGCATGATGTCTCCCACAGTCGATATATCTGGCTCAGTTCTGTGTTTATCCTCATACCTTGATATAGAGGATGAGGGTGAGTTGCATCAGATTGAATTGAGCAAGGTTCCAGAATGTGCTTATTGAGTACTTTTCACATGTGACCCCCCCCCCCACAAAAGTTACAGAGGTGAGAACAAGTCTGTGCTGGCAAGAAGAGGTCCTCTGCTTACCACAGTAAGTCTAGTAAGAATCTCCTTATTGTCAGACACCTACCTCTTCTTCTCCACAGTAGTATTACCACTTCGAGAATTAGGATGACACCCACGATGCCCCCTAAGAACAGCCAAGAATACAATCCCCATTGTCTTCGTTCTGAAAAAAAAATCAAAGAGCGATCTCAGAAATGCTGTGAGTTTTAAAATATCCTACACAGCAGTGGGAAGACTGAGTCTTCTGTTTCTACATCCTCTTCCCAGGGAGACATTCATGTATGTGGGCTTGGGGCTTGACCTGAGGCTGCCCAATAGTCCCACATCTGTGTGCTTATCCCTAACTTCATTCCCTGTACTTGGCTTTCATATTCCAATATTCATAAAGATCTTTCTATTAAAATGCTTTCCTTTCACTACCATATGTCTTTTACATCAATGTCTCTGCCCTACTTCTTTCTTTAAATTTCTAATGTATTCTGTATTCATTTAGGGTTAGGAGCACATAGAGCTTCATGTAGTGTTCAACACTATTCTCATGAGACTTTAGGAGGAAGAAATCTGCTGCTTTTTAAAAAAATAAATCCCCCCCAATCTCATGAGACACCAGAAGGAAGGAATTGGCTTTTCTTTTTAAAAAATAAACACACAAGTGCTATTATTGTCCTTTCATGCAAATAAGTATGTTGAACTCCTTGAACCAAAAGAAAAGAATGTAGTTTTTCTTTTCAATCATTATTATATTTATAATTAGCCAGGCGCACTCAGGCTTAAAATCAGAAAGCCAGATTTTTTTGATTTCTCTCCTGTTGCCACTTTGCCAAATTCTTTTGAATGAGGAGCATCATTTTAAAAAATAGTGAATAACATATCTCGCCCCAGGAAATCAGACATGCAGTTCAATAAGACGGCGATAGGCAATCATTGAGTGCTTGCAATAGGCCAGACGTTTGTGTTAGTGCATCTCGTGTGCTGATGCATTAAATCTTCACAATAATCCTGGGAGGTAGATGTGTTGATTGCTCATTGGCAACAGAGAGGTTAAAATTCAGCAGCAGAACTCCTCAGTTGAAGTCAGCCTGCCCATCTTCTACTGAGACAAAATAGTAAACTAAGTGGAATTACACACAACAAAACCAAGTCTTTGATGTGAGACCCATTCATCCCTTCCTATGTGCCCTGACTCATCGTCTTGGAAGGTTTGTGTACATAGACCTTCTTTTCTGTAGCTAAACAGGCTTCTGTGAAATAGAGGACCTGGTCTTGTCAAGTTCCAGCTTTAAACCTAGCACTTTAAACACAATATGGTGCTCCTGGAAGTCCTACAAGGCACTAGATGATCCAGAGAAAGGCGTTCTTGAGATGCTTATGTTTGTTGCCTAAACTCTTTTTCCATGTCTTCAAATCCATAGCAAGACCTCAGCTCTCATCCCGACTATGAGATCCACTCTGGGAAACTTGCCCACTGTCCCTCGTACCAGTGTGCTGTGGCCTGAATAAACTGTTTTTATTCTTGCCCTGGAGAATTATTTCGCTGACAGCATCACCATCGCTACCTGTGCAGACTCACACAGCCGTGGGCACTTTCCTCACTCCTATATTATGGGTAGGGAAGCAGGCATGGAGAACACAAAAAACTAGAGCTTGGTCCAGGAGTAGAAACATGGGTGAGTTCTAAGAATGGGCTTCGTGGGAAAGCCAAGAGACTTAGGAGTTTGGAGCAAGTTATGCCAAAGTCGTAAACAGTGGGGGATAACTAAAGCACTAGGATTTTGTTTTATTTATTTATTTATTTATTTATTTATTTATTTATTTATTTATTTTGGCAGAACCGGGGGTTGAACTCAGGCCCTTGTGCTTGCCAGGGAAGCGCTTATTCTACTGAGCCATCTCCCTGGCCCCTCTAGGATTTTAATTAATGACACAAAGCTTCTGAATAGAGTGACACTAAATGTTCATTAACATACAAGGGCAACTTGCAAGGATGACTGGGGAATAAGCCTGCTTGCTGTTGAACCTGTCTGGAATTTGTTGGGGGGGAAACTGTAGCGAAGAAACAAAGGAACAATGCAGGTGTGAGCAAGTCCAGATATTTATAAGATTGGCTAAAATACAGACTGAATTCTCATTGACAAAAAGCATCTCACTGAGCTCAAAGTGGGCCTGTTGTCTCCTTTTGAGTTTGAAAGGATTCTTCTTCCTAGACTTTTCATACAAGTCCTTCCAAGGCATCTCAGTGAACTGGCTTTATGAACTCTTTGATTATAGATTCTCTGCCCCAGATTAAACATGTTTTAATCCTGACCAATATCAATTTCAATAATCATATTATCTTGATCAAAAAGTTGGAGGTGAGCAGTTTTAAAAGTTCTAAAAAGATGCCTTCCTTTGCATGAAAGATAGAATCCTCACTGTGGCTGGAGGTGCCCTGTGAACTAGTCCACCCCAAATGGCTAATGGTGGCTGAGACCCTCCATGCAGCACGTGTGTGTGTGTGTGTGTGTGTGTGTGTGTGTGTATGTGTCTGTCTGTCTGAGGCAGATTATTATTGGTCCAGGGTTTATGCTCTCTACAACAGGGACTCAGGGAGAAGCTGCCCCAGTGTTAAGAGGCAGAACCAGCAGCTTAGGAGCTGGCTTTGCAAGTGGTCATACTGGCTCTTGCTATTTCCAGACTATTTTCTCTTTCTTTTTCTATCATGTGCATTTTGGGAACTATAGAATGAACAGTTTACTTGAGAACAGACACCTTCACCATTTCTATAATTGAAAAGGGTAATATTTCTCCTAAATTTCATTTGAGTTCTAAAATAAGAGCAACAAAAACAGGGGTGCCTCTAAAATTGGGAAATGACAAGATGACAAAACTGTATCAAGCATGTCCCCACCCTGCATCAGCCTTTCTCCTCTCCCCTGGTGCCTGTCTCTGGCAGCTCCACCACCCATCAACTCAAGCAAATCAACAAGAGGCACATGACTGAGGCTGAAAGACAGGAAAACATCAGACTTGCTACCATCCTCCCGAGATCCTAGAAAAGAGATTGGGATGATATCAACCTGCTACCCTTGTCCTAGGACACAAATGACCAACTTCTGCTGGGCTAGTCAGACCCAAGAGACAATCTGCCTATAACCTTCAAAGATATTTCACAAGCTCTAAATGTTCTCTTATCTTTAGATATAAATATGAATCTAGGGGGAGACTGAAGCCACACAACCAAAGGGTTAAAAAAAAAAAAAAAAAAAACCAACCTCGAAGGAACTGCAGTTCTTATTTCACCCAGCCTACTAATTTTATCTTCAGGAAATAGACTCAAACAAATGTACCTAGTCTCAGAAAAAGTCCTTTTCTTGCAGCTCTGTCAATACTTGGTACATGAGTCCCTGTGAATTCTTGTTGATTGATTGGAAGGACAAGCAAATGGCTGTTATCTCAAGTCCAAATGAGTCTCTCCAGTGATGCCCAGAGATGCCTCAGTCCCATCTCATCTTTTGCTTGTCACTTAGTCTCCCTATCTGCATGGCAGCCCCAAGTGTTTCCACATTTGGCCACCTGGTACACCCATTTGTAATTATGATATGTATACAGAAACTGAATGCCAGGAGCTCTGTGCCCTTAGGAATTCATATCAACATGGACAGAATGCTACTCTTCTTGTGGGGGTCAAGCTGCCACAAGTTCTATAATTTCTGGGGACAATATCCTTGTGGTCCACTAACTTTTTGCTTCTGTGCCTCAGCTTCCTTTGCTCTGTGTTCTTTGGGGTTTGAGCTTCCATTTCTGCATTGATTTCCACACAGAACAGAAACCAAACACCTCACACCAAGGATTCTGTGGTTGAAATCCACCCCCCTCCCAGAGAATTACAGGTCACAAGGCATAGATTCCACGGTAATGGAGGCATATTATACCACCTGACAGGCTTGGGTCTGCTCTTTCTCTCCCTGTCTCTGCATAAGCAGCATTTTACCTCTTTCTCATACAGAACCATCACATGCACAAACTGATCCCTTAAATGGTCTAACTCTCAGCCTTCTAGCATTTATTACAGCGCAAACAATCCTAAATGGGCACTGTTCCCTTCCAAAGAGGCATTCTAGTAGCGATTTCTTTAATATAATATTTTTCCATCTGGTAAGGTATAAAGTCCTACTTAGACTGAAATTTCCCTAAAGTTGCCTCAGTACTTTGTTCTTTATTTGTACCCCCATTCCATACAATATCATATATGACAAAGGGATATTTTATATACTCTTAAAGAATTTAGATTAAATTAAATGCAAGACCATAAGAATGAATTTGGGAGAAGACTAAAGTAAGCTTTTGTGAAGAATAATCAGAGGATAAGAAAAATAAGAAAGACTCAGAAAGAATGCAAGGTCACCTTCTGAGTGGCCCACGGCAGGAATCAAAGGGAAGGTACAGTGGCCTACTTGGCAGACTCTTGGCAGTAACAAAATGGCGCTGGGAGGAAAGTCTGTGTCTGTGACCTCAACAAGTCACCTGTGTTCTCATTTTCAAACCAGCTTGCCCTCATTTTGTTCAGTCATATAATGAGATCTTTAAGGATGGTTATTCTCAGAAATGAGACAAAAGTTGTCCTTGAATCCACAAACCCTTTGCTCACAAAGCAGTTATCACCACACAAAACTTTCTTGAACCAGATGACTGGCACTTTTCTCCTTGGAATTTCTTAAAGCCAGCTGATCAGGCTGGATGAGAACTCCTGTGACATTCGTGAAGAGTACGTGGCATGCTTATCCACCCTGTGGTCCTCTCTTCTGTTAGCTTTAAATCAGTTAACTTTGTGTTTAGCCACACGACCAAGGAAAATGCCCAGAAGCCTCCACCCCACTCCCACCCCTTTTTGTCTCTGAAAGTCTGTTGCCACAGAAACACGAAGGCTTCTCTCAAGTCTCCAAATCATATTTTTGAAGGAAGATGAAGAAAACAAGAAACAAATGTAGTTCACCTCAGGAGATACTGAGATGCTCACGTAACGGCCCGAGAGTACCGGATCTCTTTCCTGCCTTTCATGTGGTTCTGTCAGCAAGGCTGATGGCATGGAGCACGTCTCCTTGAAGAAGCCAACTATCTTCAAAAGATGTCGTCTTGTTGGTGGAAGTTTCCATTCAAAATTGGGGGGTAGAGAAAGGATGCTTGCAAGACACATAATAGTTTAAGGACTGGGACCATCCAAGTAAGCCCTTTGATAGACTCCATCACTTCTATCGAGATGGGTGGCTCACACTTAGAATCCCAGCTACTTGGAAGGCTGAGGCAAGAGGAGTATAAGTTTGAGGGTAGCCTGGGCAACTTAGTGAGACACTGTCTCAAAGTATAATTAAATGAGAGAAATCACAGCTTCCACAGTAATTCCTGTCATCTGCTTATCCACCCAGATTTTAAATATGTCCCCAGGACCACTTATTCTATTTTTATTTTCAAAGTAATACAAGTTTTGTCCAGGCCCAAGAATGGCCAGGTGGCCAAACTCTAGCCCATGAAAAATGGGATTCATCTGGCTTCCATTACTGTCAGACTTGCTTCTCTGAGAAGATCATGGAGAGGGACTTCACCCTTGGCATGGAGCATCTAAGGGACACAGAAGGTCCTTGTTTTAGAAAATGGCTTTGTTAGGAAGGAGGACCCTCTGGAGCTCACTGGCAAGTGTCAACCTTTTTGTCCACTGAGCTAATTCAGATTTACTGAGGCAGCTTTTTATCAATCTTCTGAAAAGGGTCTCTCTTTCAAGGTGAGCTTCCAGGGACCTTCCTTTCTCACTGCATTATTTAAGAGCTTACATCCATCCTCCTAGCACTGACATAACTATTGTAAAGCATGGATGATTAATGGCAGCAGCAAATCAAACACTGTCTACATCCACATATTTCCCCTGACCTGGACAGGATTTTGTAGCACCCAAGGATTTAGACTTTACAACTAAAATGCTTTGTTATGATAGATATTAAAATGACATCATAGCAACTAGAACAAGAAACAAGAATGAATATATGACTGAGAGCCTGGACAAACAGAATTAAAAAAAAAAAAAACTCCCCCAAATATAAGTATCTTCTTGCATGGCTTAGTTTAACTGAGTCCTGCCAAAAGAATGCTGACATCACACCGAGTCTGGTTTCCCTGCACCATTAACAACTTTGAGTTTTTCATTAATGAAAGTAGAAATGTCTTAAAATTACTGTGCTAAGTTCTTAGATTGCAACCTGTAATAAACCCTCAGACTCTGCCATTTCATCTCAAAGCTGGGGTTTCCCTTTGCATACACCGTGGAAAAAGTCTTTGTTAAACAAATAGTTAATGCGGTGGCCCAGGCCTTACTATCTCTTCCTGCATTTGGCAGTAAGGCTTTCCCTGCACCAGAGTCCCTTTCTTCCTTTTCTACTGTATTGAATTTTCTCTTTGAAATGAAGAACTGATGGTGCTATTCCTCCATTTAAATTTCTATTAGTTCCTACCACCTACAGGATGATACAGAATAAGAACCAGCTGTGTCCACTGTCCTCTCTGCTTGCACTGTCTTTTGTCAGCCTGGGCCATTTCTATTTATTCTTCAAAACCCACTTTAAATTCTCTGTGGTGCTCTCATTCCCCGACACAGCCACGGCTCTTCATTCTCTCCTCTTTGTTATCTTGCACATACTTCTGTAGGGTACCTATCACAGAATGTAATCTATGGTAATTATTTATTAATTGAACTACCTCCTTCCTTAAGAACGAGGATCTTTCTTTTACTCACTATGTCCTGAACACCTGGCATAATGTTGGAAAATATCAAGCCTCTCAGTGAATATTTTGTCTAGCTAAGCATAGTTTTTTGTTTTTTTTTTGAACTGGGGATTGAACTCAGGCCCTTGTGCTTGCCAGGGAAGCACTTATTCCACTGAGCCATCTCTCCAGCCCCATAAGCATAGCATTTTACAGTAGTATTCATTCTCAAACACAAATCAATGTGCTAATAAAAGTTTTAGACCTGATGTAGTAGGAAGGGCATGTTAGAAAACAGCTATGTGATCTGGTTTAGATGTACACTTCTCTGGGGGTGGGAAATCTCTAGCTGTTTTATGAGTTGAAATGTGTTATACTAAAATTCATATGTTGAAGTCCTTAGAACAGGATAGGAGACAGGGTCTGGAGGTAAGGTCTCTTCACAAGTTAAAACAAGGCAAGAGGATGGTAGTTTGAGGCCAGCCTGGATTGTATAGTGAGATCCTGTCTCAAAAAAAGGGAGGGAGGAAAGAAAACAAGAGAAGAGGAAAAGAAAAACTATCTTTTTAGTATATGTGTAATGCTTGTTCGTTTTTTAGAGATGACATCTCACTCTGTTACCTAGGTTAGTCTTGAACTTGTGGGCTCGAGTGATCCTCCCACCTCAGTCTCCCACATAGCTGGGACTACGGTACGTGTGACACCACTCTCAACTACTATAAGGCATCTTAAAGTGCATTTTTTCTTCCATGGATACCTCCAGACAGCCGAGCTCCAGCCCTTGTTCTGTGTGTGACCTCACTTAGCCTTTTATAGTTTTGTTTCCCCTCTGTAGAATGGGGATAGTAATACGATCTCCATTACTTGGCTGTGATGAGGGGTGAAAGAGATGCCACATGACAGGCACGTAGTAAATGAATAGTATTTGCTGGTCATTAGATGAAGAATCTAAGTCTCAGAAAGGGTGACTGATTTGTCCTTGTAAGTAGAAAGGGAAGCACTGGATCTCAGCCTTCCGGGGTCACAGTCTGTAAAGTTCTCACTGTGCAACACTATTATGTTGGTCCTGAAGCATGGCTATGGGCAGGGAGGAGGCCTGGCTGGGAGGGAAAGCCTCTGAATGTGATTTGCATGCAGGGAGGGCAAGCAGCCAGAAACATGGTGTGGGTGAGAGGACGGCTGACCCTTGCCAGGGAGTCAGGGTCTGGGAGTGGCCGTTGCATTCAGCTCACGAGCAACCTCTCAGACATGCCATACTGCAGCATGAATTATTTCCCCAGGAATCCATCTGTGACTATTTCAGGGAAGCTTCTGGTATAGGAGGTTCCAAGCTGAGGGTGTGCTCTAGCTAGACTCCCCCTTTCTTCACTTCCAGCCATCTGGGAAAAGCCTTCACACGGACACTAAGTTTACTATGATTTTCATTCCCTGCCCAGTGGTGCAGAGAAGCCAAGGTCAGGATATGAGCAATGCCTTGCAGGGACAGCACCTTTGCCAGGCTACAGGACCTTTGGCAAGAAGGGGTAGTGTTATACCCTGTTCCTAAGTGTTTAGATGGGCTCATAATGAGTGCTCTCTTCCAATGGAACAATGATACTTTATTTCTAGAAAAAGACAAAAAAATCTAGTCCTAATCATAGGTGTAGGTTCTGGCTCCACTGTCCACCAGATGAAGAAACTTGAGGAAGGTTTCAAATCCTCACACGTCGAGTGAGGCTGATGATAATACCCAGCAAGCCTACTGTGAGAGTCAGAGATTACGCAACTGGGAGTGCCCAGTTCATAAGAAAGCACCAGAGGGCTTACTATCTTCTCCAAATTTCCCAGTCCAGATCTTAGGCTTGCCTCTCTCCCTAAGTCCGCTGGGCCTCTGACCTACTGTGAGATTTATTCTTCATTCCATAAAACAAGGTCCCTTGTTATATCCTAGCTTTCAGTATTGAGTGCCCATTTCACATCTTTGCTAAAGAGCAGAGATCACACATCCTGTCTAACCCCAATTTCCTGCAGTGTAGGTGATCGATAGATACTTACTGATGGTGGAGAGCTGCCCCACCATTAACATAGAATGCCTGGATGTGGGAACTTGGACCCGCGACCTGCACTTCCTCACCCAGCTGCCCCTGAAGCCCAGAGCGGAGGCAGGAGGCAGAGAGGAAGGATCACACCTTGGAGCCATTAGCTGGGGTCATCATTTCCTATTTGTTTCCTCATCTGTGAGCTAAGCATCATAATTCTGCCCTGGTCAATACAGTGGTGTATTGGGCTGGGGAGATAGCTCAACAGACTACGTACCTGTCTGGCAAGACCAGGGACTAGGGCTTGATCCCTGGCACCACATGCCCACCCCCCTGCCCCAGGGTGCACTGAGCCAGTCACCAAAACCGGGTATAGTGGCGCATGCCTGTAATCCCAGCACTGGGAAGGCTGAAACAGGAGCATCACTAAAAGTCTGAACTTAGTAGTGAGAATACACTGTGAAGTGTGTACCAAATACATAAAATTAAAAAAATACATATAAGAGTGTGCTTCCTGAGCACACAAGCAGCTTCTGCTAACTACAAAGAAGGCCTGAAATGCTGTCAGGGTGAAGGCTTTGTCTGTGGTGGCGGAGCAGTTGGGGACGGAGCCAGGCCCTTTGCTGTGGCAACCTTGCTGCCACAAGAGCACTTACCCAAGGGGTTTGACCTGCAGCTGCTCCACAGATTGAAGGCCTGTGAGCGGCTGCTAACTGGGTTTCTCGCAGTACAGATGTAGAAATTGTCAGCATGCTGGGGGCCAAGGGTGAGGAACAGCAGATGGGAGCTGTTGGCAGGGCTGGGCAGATGTGTGCCACCCTCCTCGCTCCAGTTGTAAGCCACGTGATCCCCTTGCTTCACTGTGCAGGCCACCATCAAGCTACAGGTCCCGTTGTCCTTCTCTTGGGTTTTGTTTAGCACTTGAATTTCTGGAGTGGAGACCTGCTCTGTCAGAAGGAAGAGAAGGGAGGGAGCCATCACCCATTTGAATTTTAGGTCCAAACAATACACAGCCCAGTAGCACTTGGCCTCAGTGTGATTTATCTCTGGTGGGGAACTCTTGTTTATCATCCTCTCTCACGCACTACTACCTCCCTCTAGGACAACACTGAGACAAAATAGGGAAGATGAATTTGATTTTAGTTCCCCTCTGCTAATGCTGTTAGGACCCCACTTGCTCTTCCTGACATTCCTAATCTAGGTTGTTCTCTATTAGTGGAGTAGCTACCGACCAGTCCCCTCCCACTTTTCTTTCAGTACTGGAGATCAAACTCAGGATCTCAAGAGTGCTAGGGAAGCATCCTATCCCTTAGATATAGCCTCAGCCCGGTTTTAACTTTGAGACAAAACCTCACTAAGGTCCTCAAGTTGGCCTCAGACTTGAGAGCCTCCTGCCTCAATCTCCTGAGCAGCTGGGATAACAGGTGTGCATGACTGTGCACAGCTGTCTGCCATCACAACTTGTGGCTTATGGTATAATCCGTTAAACATACCTGCAGGAGATTTTAGTGGATTACATACCACAAATATACACACTAGCATGTGTGTGGGGTGTGTGTATGTGAGACGTGGCATTTTTGTGCATCACACGATAGGCTCTCAATCATAGCCACTGGCCCTATCAAACTATCCCACTCTCATGCGATGAATAAGCAAGGGAAAGTCTTGTTTATTTGCAACTAGTAGAGGACAACACGGTACTGGAGTTTGACATCCATCCTCTTCTTTATAGCCTAAGAATCATAACTATAATTATAATTATTCCCATTTTGTGGATGCAGAAACTGAGTCCTGGAGAAGTCTTACATAATACTACACAGCTTCAAATGGTCAAGCTGAGATGAGAACCTCAGTGTGTCTCATGCCAAAATCCAGCCTCTTTCTTTGACTTTAGAAAGCCATGGTTGCCGGGATCATAGTTTCCCACAATATGAATTAGATCACAAGATGGGGCAAAGATGGGAGACTTACAAGCCCCAAAGGACAAAAATGTCTGACCTGCATATTGTTACACAAAATGCCTTGGATGTAGCCTTCACGCTGCAGGCAATTTTGTTCCAGGCCCTCCTCGCAGTGACTTAGTAGAGAGCTGTGGGAATTTTGCAGGCCCCATTTGCAGGGAAAGGAATGCTGGGGCACGGAAGGGTATTACTGTCCCTCCTCTAGATATGTGAGGATTTCAAAGAAATGAAGGTGGGGTTCCTGTCCCATCCTCAGAGATGAGGAAGTTACTCTGAAGAAACAGGAAAGCCCCGTGCGTGAGGTGAATCTCTGGGCCCAAGATACACAAGCTTCAGGGGCACTCAGGAGGGGTCAGCAGCTAAGGAAGTTCAGAAAAGTTCTGCCGCTGGGTCCAAGTGGACCCACATTCTGGCTAAAGTACTGCATTTAGTGAGGTTGTAACAGAAGGCCTCCTGAAAGTGAGAAAAAGAGTGCTTCCTCCACCATGTAGGTGTGATCTGAGGCCAGGCTTCAGGGCTTGCTTGGTGAGTCGTGTGTGGGTGGGATTTCAGCCCTCTACCCAGAATCCCTAGCGCAGTGAACCTCCTCCACAGACCTGTGTAAGCATGTACGAGCCGCTACTCTGGATTTCATTGTCCTCATGTATAAAAGAAAGGTTGGGTTTGATCCATGGGCTTCACACTTTTTTAAAAACTAAGAAACCCTTTTCTTTCCTCCAAATAAAACCTTATTTGCAAACCAAGACCACTAGTGCTCCAGGCCCTCCAGCTCATGGACACCTGGGTCTACTTCCTTTGGAAAAGAGTCAGGATAGCTAATGCTAATCAGTTGCCACTCATATAATTTTGGGGGAAAAAATGGCAACCTCTCAAACCCTTTCTGTGAAGCATAGTGTAGCATCCTCAGAGCTGGTGATGCTTCAAGCTGCTTCCAATTTGAAATATCCACAGCTTCTGAGAGAGGCCTAGATGCTCGGCCTGGAAACCAGGGTGGGGTGCAGAAGCTGCAACTATTACCATAGAGCTTCAGCTGCACACAGAATGACTGGATATCCACATTTCCCTCCAGGTGCATGTAGTACCATCCCTCGTGCTCCTTCTTGCTCCCCAGGATCACCAAGCTCAGGTTGACCAGATGAAATTGATAGCCATCCTTGGTGTAATCCGATGCGCTCCCTTCATGCAGACCTAGAGACATGATTTTCCTCCTCACGGTGTCTTCAGGCGATTTGGATGTCATGATGAGGATGCGGTTGCTTTTGTTCATGCTCTTGTGGATCTCTTCCATCCTATCCGTCAGGGGCAGCCACTCGTCCCTTCCCAGCTGCCCAAAAGACACGCGGCAGTTCTTCTGGCTTTCAGCTGTGGGAAGGAAAAGAAGACAGTCCCTTAGGGCGGTGACTTTGGAAACCACATTGTGTTGTGGATCAGGAATGGCAGTCACAGGCTCTTGCTCTCCTATATACCATCCTAGGGGTTGCCAGGGCCTAGTGGTCCACGAGCACCACCATATGAGTCCCTACTATGTCCTCAATATTTAAAATATCCCAATGGAAATCTTAAAATTACTTAGGGTAAAGCTGTCTAAATTAGGGAGAACACTGGATTTCTTTTGACTCAGATTTACAGCTACGGCTTCTAAAGCACCTCCCAGGCAAGTGACTTCTTCTAAAGTCACACCGGGAAGTAGCAGAGTCAGGACTAGAATCTAGATCTAGGAATTCTTCTACTGTGATTGGTGCCACCATATGAATATAAGATGAAGGTCAAAGAGTTCCGAAAAAGGACTCGAGCCCATGTCCTAAGGGTGCACAGTAGCAGAAGTGTCCTGTCCAGTGATGGGCAAGACAGAGAAGTCTGAGGGAAGGGAAGCCAGGGAGATGGGGAGCACACCTAGCTCTCCAGAATGATCCCTGGCAAAATCAATGATCCTGAGGGTTTTTTTTTTTTTTTTTTTTTTTTTTGATAGTACCAGGGATCAAACTCAAGCACCCAGGCAGGTGCTTATGCCACTGAGCAATATCCCCAGCTCAAGGTGATATATTATTACATTATTCTTTTCCACAAACACTGAGCAAGAAACACATACACAGCAAAAAGCAAAAATGACATTAACAAAAGAAACCTCTAAACCACTGTAAGGAATCCTACTGCTGATTATTTAACACCTCCTGTCAGCTCAAACCCACAACCTGCCTTTGTCCCTCCCCTTAGCTAATCAACTTCATTTTGTTACACTAGAAAAAGTAGAAAGAGAAGGATGAGGACAAGGACATGGACATGGACAAGGAGAAGAAGAAGCTGCCTTTGTTGCCACCCAGACCAACCTGCCTCCCCAGATGGTCCTTGGCCCATGGCACGCTGGCCTTCTCCTTCACAGAGTGTTTGCATGACCATCAGCACACAACACACAAGCATGGAATTTCTCCCATGTTGGAAACCCCTCCTCTGCTCCCAGGTACCTACTAGCTGTGCCCCATTTCTCTATTCTTCTTTAGGTGTTGATAGTATTTATTCCCTCCTGACCCTGTATCCACTCCAGGCAGGATTTCTTCCCTACTACTTACTAGAGCCACCTCTGCTGGGGTCACTCTCAACTCCAAGAAACCTAACGGATTTTCCATCCTTATCTCATTTGTTTCTCAGGAGCACTTGATGTTCATCAGTCGCTCTTTGAAACTGGCTTCATTTGTTCCTGGGAGCTCACACGCTCCTGACTTTTCTTCTGCTTCCTTGGCTTACCCTTTTCAGTTTCCTGGGCTGGTCTGCTTTTCCAGCCCTCTCAGCCCTGAATATTTCAGGGCTCATTTCTCAGACTTCTTCTCCTTATCTATAATCATCCCGTTTCTCATTCAGCAACATAATTTGACATATTTCCGCAATACTTAGATTTCTATCTCCCAGCCAAACCCTACACTGCACTCTCAACTGCCTACAGAGATCAGTCTTTGGAGGGCTAAACTCATCTCAAACTTAGCAAATGAACACTTGATTCCACAGTCATTTCTGCATTACAGTTTACCCAGTTTCTCACACCCAAACACTGGAATTTTCTTTTGACCCCTTTCTTTCTCTCATACTCTTCCTTCAGTCTAATAGGAAACCCAGTTTTCAATAAGCACTAATCAGGCCAGGATGGGGCGAGCACAGGACAGAGGGCAGGGAACAGAATGGGAGAAGCCCCAGGGTGTAGGAAAGCCCTCGCTTTCAAAATCATCCTGAATCTGAGCAATTCACATTGCCTTCACTCCTATCTCACAGGGCTTGGCACTGGCACTGTCTTCCAACTCACCCTTCAGCATCCGTGCAATGGACAAGGTGATCCTTTGACAGCATGTCTAATTTCATGTCTCTCCTGCTTTTAGGGCTTCCTAGCACCCACAGAATAAACTTCACAGTCTTTGACTGATACAGCTTCAAAAATTCTGTATTTATATTCCCTTGGACCTCTCCAGTTCTTCTCCCTGCCCTCTGTCTTGTGCTCACCCCATCTTGACCATACTAGTGCTGGGCTCTCCCTTAATATTTCGATCTCAGAGTGTTTACAATCACAGCGTCCCTCCCTGAAGCCCTCCTCCTTTATGTACTAGGAGGGCTCATGCCTTTGCTTTATTTTAGAGTTCTGATAAAAAATTTATCTCCATGAAAAGACCTCCTTGGACCTGTGTCTGAAATGCCCCCAGTATGGCTCTCATCACTACCTGATGTTATAATGTGTATTTTTACTTCTATTTTTGTTTCCTGTACTTGAACACAATCCCTCCAGAGGGAGAACTGTTTCTCAGTTACTGTTTTATCCTCAGGACCTACAACAGTGCTTGGTACATAGGAGGATTTTAAGAACCATCTGTTCCATTTATGAATGCTAAAAGCCATGTTACCCAATCTATCTCTTATTTGGCTTTGCCTAACTTGTATATAACTGAATTTAACCATCATGTAGAATTCATGAAAGCAGCCCATGCCTCAGAGGGAGCATAGATTTCTACAGTTGACAAGAAAGTCAAAGGAGTAACAGAATTATTGCTTCAGTTACATGTCTACTTAGAAGAGACTCTGCCACAGTTGATAATAGTTAAGATGTGGTTGGAAGATTAGCCAAGCTGACCAAGATGTTCTCGATACTACAATGCCCCGAAATCCCCACACTGTCCAGTAAAGCACTCAATTAATGTTAACTAGAGATGAACCATCATGAGAAGAGAAAAGGGCGTTCCTAGGGGAAATCAGGATCAGGGCAGTTGAGACGCGCCATTGTTACAGAAAGCTGCAGAGGTGATCAGACATTTGTTATTTTCACTATTACTAACACATTAAACTTTGAAAACAGAGTGCTGACTCCCATTGCCTGATGAGATGAGGGATGCTATAGAGTCAGGGTTGTTGTTCTTAGATATGAGTGGGGCATGCATAGTACTTTCATGCATCCACACTAGAAATGCCCGAGTGTTCAGATAATGAGGTCCTTTGGGTGTCCACACATGTGTCTTGTGGAATGGAGGGAGAGAGACAGAAGGAGGGAAGGATGGGGGGGAAGAGAGACAGAGAGATGGAGGGAAGGATGGGAGGAGAGAGAGAAAGAGAGAGAGAGGAGAAGAAGTGGAGAGGAGAGGAGACAGAGAGACGGAGGGAAGGATGGGGGGAGAGAGAGAGAGAGGAGAAGAAGTGGAGAAGAGAGGAGACAGAGAGACAGATGGGAGAGAGAGAGAGAGAGAGAGAGAGAGAGAGAGAGAGAGAGAGAGAGAGATCTCAAGTCCTGAACCTAAACTTTCATTTGTAAAGGAACAAGAGGAAACTGAAAAGCTGAGGGAGTGCAGGGATGGACTTGCCAAGCACAGGCAGGGACTCCCTGAGTTTGTCTACTGCAAGTTGGGGTGCTAAACATATGAACGTTTTCTGGGAGCACTTCTGAAAATGTTATCTCTCAAAGGGATCTGGGATTTTTAAGAAATTAAGAACTGCCCTCTTGATGTTGTTTTTAAAGACCAATCTGGATACAGAATGGGGGAAAGCAGTCGAAATTATTCTCATTCTAAGACCACAACTCTTCACTCACCCAAATGTCTGCCATGTGTCCTTGCCCCCATCTGAACCTGAAGACTGTCTGTCCCCTGACTGCTACCCAAACACGAAGTTTGTGAGAACCGAAGAATGGATATAGTGTGAAACAGAACTACCCAAAATGCAAAAATAAAAAAAGAAAGTAAATTAAAGAAAGAGACTAGGAGGGGAAAATAAAAGAAATAGGGAAGAGGCACACAAGAAGGACAGGCTGGGTGGGTTACCCACGTGGGCAGTGTGACACCAATGTCACCATGAGGACCAGCGCTGACACCTCACTACCCACATGAAGGGTAATGATGCAACTCCTGTGCCTGTGACTGGCCCGCTCTAGAGGGTATACCTGAACTCTTCCCCACCCTAGCACAAGTGGAAACCAAGTGGGACTTCAAAGGGGTTCATAAAACACTTCAAGTGGAGTCCCTGCTCCTGAAACATCCTACCGCCTGATGAGTGTTTTCCAGTGTGTCTGTGATTCAGTCAACCCACGTTTACAAAACATCTGGGAAGAAACAGTTGTAGCTGCTAACACCAACTCACTTTCCTTCATGGGTAAGTGGGTAACTCTTCAAAAGAAGAGTGATTCACACAGACCCACGAGTGTTAGTCTCAACTTTGTAGGCTTCAGCAAACCCTTTAAGGGATGGGATTCTATGGAATGATGACTTTTTTTTGCAGGCCCTTTTAGCCCTGCTGTTTCATCTCAGCCTTTAGCATCTTGTTATAGAAATTTTTTAGTTAGGGAAGAGGTCAAGCTCATCAGCCTCACAGTTCTTATGATAAATGTAAGCCAGGAAAAAAAAGATGCCTTGTCTTTTTATTTATTTATTTATTTATTTATTTTTTATTTTTGCAGTACCAGGGATTGAACTCAGGACCTTGCACTTGCCAGGCAGGCACTTATTCTACTGAGCTATCTCGCTGGCCCTAAGACGCCTTGTCTAAGATAGCTTTTCTAGCACATCCCTCAGCCCATTCTGAATCTTTGTTGCTGTTACAAGTGGTAAGTCTGTCCATCATAGGTGAACTGCAGTTGTTGCCTGCTGGCTTCCAGAGGCATGAGGCTGAATCTCCACAGGCATCTCTTTGGGTCTCCACCAACATCTCTTCCTGAGGGAAGGCTGGCCTGGCTCCTGGCTTACATCACCTCTTCCAACACACACCATCAATATAGCTTGCATCACTCTTTCATGTCACTTACCACATTTTTAACTGGTTCAATACCTGCCATGCTAACTCAGTGAGAGACTCCAGAACCTAGGAGTGGTGTCTGTTCTACCTAGTCTTTTATTCCTAATATCCCACCTACAAGTGCCACACCAGGAACTCAGGAAATCCTTTTTTGTCCACATAAAGGAATAAAATGTAATGCACTGGATGTCCACACAGAGTCTAATAGCTTCACAGTCTCTTCACCAACAGAACATACTGTTTTATCATTATAACATCCTTAAGAGATTTAGTGTGGGGAAAATGATGGGGACTCTTGTCCCCCTTGCCAGGTGAGGAGCTAGCTAAGAAACTTAGGGTTCTGGTACAATGAACTATTGCCTTTCCTCCAAGCACAGGCAACACACTAGCTCTGCCTTTGCATCTCTATCTAAAATACTCTTCTTGGGGCTAGGGAGATAGCTTGGTAGCATAAGTGCCTGCCTGGCAAGTGCAAGGTCCCAAGTTGGATTCCTGATACCGCATGTCGTACTGGCCCCAGCACCCTGGGCATACCATGCTGGGCCTCAAAACTGGGTGTGGTAGTGCACACCTGTAATTCCAGTGCTGAGGAGGCTGAGACAGGAGGATCATTATGAGTCTGAGCTGCATAGTAAGACCCTGTATCAAAAAATAAAATACTCTTCTTCAAGAGTATTTCTTCAAGTCCCACAAAAATCCAAAGTGCCTCCCCTACGGGTTTGAAAAACATGTCAGAAGCTTATAACATGGCAGAGATGTGGCAGGAAAGTTAGTCTTCACTCTATACATGGGGTGCTCTTCCAATGAAGTAGCTCACAAAAGTTAAATGAAAACCAGAATGATGAAAAAGTTTCTGTCCACTTCCCAAACTCTAGGCCAGATACTTCTTATATGCTTTGCATATAAAATTTTTTCCCTGATTCCCTTAATGCTTCTCAGTTTTGGAAAATTTCCATACTTTAATTCTTTTCCATGGAATTCAACTCATATGCTTCAATTATAGGTGGTATATTCTAATTTTTATCATTGGACCTGGTAACATTTCTCATACTCCCCAAAACACAGGCTTACCCAATTTTATTCACTGGGACTTCTGGGGTCATCTCAGGAAAACTACAAAACTATCCTGCATCTCCCTGTAATGATTTATAAAGCTGTAGTTGTAGTTGTAGTTCTGGGAGATTTGTCCTCATCCTAGCCTTGGAGAGGAACCGTCACACATATAAGTGCAAAACTCCAAAGATAGACTGATGAAATACAAAGGCAACCGCAGGAAGAAAGGGTAGAAGTGAAAGCCTAACCCCAGGACTTTGACAGAAAAGAGGCACTGTGGTCATATTGGTGGCTACTTTCTGGGAAGAGAAGATTCCACTGCAGCAATATGGGGAGGGACTGGGATTTCTGGAGCTCAAGGCTGGCTACAGAGTGAGTCTCACAAGGTTGGTGTAATAATTATAAAGCTGATTCTGGTATATAGCATATGTGCAGTACATACCACTATTATTCATTCAAAAGACACTTAGAGGTGGCCTTTCCAATCCCAGATAAATCTCAGAGGCTGAGCACAGGCTGTGGCTGTTCACTTTGCCTTTTCTACCCTTACACAGGTGCCTGCCATATCATGCTTGTGTCCTTACGAGACTGTTACTAAATGGAACTGTCCAAAGTTGATCTACGGGTACCACATGGCCCTGATGCCCTGACCAATGCTGGAGACAGGGAAAATGAGGGCCACAGACCAAAGAATTAAACCTCTTGGGTAAGAGAAGTGCCCAGATGAATATCTTGAGATGGAATGGGCCAGGAACATATGAGTTGGGGTCACGTCGAGAACTTGTCCTTCACCTCTCACTTTGTAGGTATCAAGGGAGCAGAAAGAAATGGTAGGGAGGGATAAAAATTCTCACTGGGGGAAATGAGAAATTCACTTTGTTGGGGGAAGGCATAGACTTTTAGATTTTTGCAATTCTGAGAGGGAATAGGAAATTGAACTGAGAAAAGCCAGGAAGGGGAGCGGGTACTGATTTTATAAGAACCAGGCTTCTTAGTTGGGTAAACATGTCATGATTAATTGCCCCTTTTGCAAAGCATTTCCATCTGGGGTTTCCTGGGGTTTCACAAATGGTGAAATTGCATACTTAAAAATAAAAATAAAAATTTGCATTAGAAGGGTGAAATTACATATTTAAATATAGACACTAAAAATAAAAATTTGCTTAGAAGAGGATGAAATTGTGTGTTTAAAAATAAAAACACCAAATATTTTTGAACATATTCTGGAAGCTGGGTTGCAAGGAAGGGAGTGGCTGCCAGCCAGGCAGACCTTCTCTCTGGGGACCGGGCTGTCCTCACTAACAGTGGCCATCCAAGTGCAGGGCAGCTGCTGCCAGAGGCCACACTGGCCAGCAATACCAAGTCCAAAGACAGGGTCATCCAGCACACGGGCCTCTCACTCCTCACAGTAACCAAGAGTATGAGAAACATGGTGGCACTCCAAGCAAGGCTCCAGAGGAAGGGTTGGCTCTCCCTGGCTCCCTCTTCTGATCGCCCAGTTCTCTGAGTCCTAGACTCAGGAGCCAAAAGCCACCTGTCTGCTGATTGCAAGAGATAGTGAGGCTCAGCAAGTGTCTTTCTGTCTGAGACTTTGGAAGACAGAGATGCCATGAGGAGGTGCCACATCTCTGGCATGTGCAGGGCTTTTCCGGGAAAAGTCCACAATGGATTTGCAGTTTTGGAAACCTCAAGCCTAAAACACCCTTGGCTTCAGGATTTTCCCTGTCACGTCCACTCCAGGCTGCCTCTTACAACCTAACCAAAGCCTGGAGTCATGTACACAGAGCAAGCTTCTCACCCACTCCCACTGTCATCTCAGCATCCACATCTTGTTTTTAAATACCTAAGCCTGGTGCTACTAAACAAAGAACCGTAGCTTGCCTTGGGAGGAAGATGAGCCAGAAAGACAGGAGCAGAGTGCAGCTCCAAAAGCACTCCGCAATCACTCCGCTGCCAGTCAGCCCCTAGCGCTGGAGTTGCTTTGAGCCTGATGGTTCCTGATTTGCATTTCCCACATTCTGCAGTCAGCCATGAGCTCCAGAAATCCTAGTCCCTCCCCATATTGCTGCAGTGGAATCGTCTCTTCCCAGAAAGTAGCCACCAATATGACCACAGTGCAGTCACTGCCTCTTTTCTGTCAAAGCCCTCGGGCTGGGTTTTCACTTCTACCCTTTCTTCCCGCTGTTGCCCTTGTATTTCATTAGTCTATTTCTGGAGCTTTACACTTATATGTGTGAAGGTTCCTCTCCAGGGCTAGGATGCAGGCAAATCTTCTCCCAGAGCTTCATCCCTCCAGATCAGCCCTGCTAGCCTGAATCTTTGCCAAGATGCCCACACAAAACCAACTGCACAAGCACCACTTCAACCAGTGTAACAGGTGCCATTGTGTGAAGCTCCTGGCTTTTTTAGAAACTAGGATTGGTGGTCTGAGCTTTGAAACCCAGGAACCCAGGAGCTCACAACATCCATTTGTTTTTGAAAGAGGCAGTAGAAACTCCGAGTCAGTCCCTAAGAAAGAAACAGCAGAATCACAGTCCCCAGTACACTGCACCTTCCTTAAATTCCTTACACTATGCTGCTTGCTGCTATCTTACTGCGGGACTCAAACCCTCAAAAGAGATAAACACTCACCTGTTGCCTCACACAGATGAAAAACCAGAGACAGAAACAGCAGCAGGCGCAGGGCGTGGAGCCTCGCGGGATCCATCAGCCAGGGAAGAGAAGACAAGGCCCTGGCGGAGGGACTCTGCCCCCTCTCAGGTGCCCCAGCAGACGCGAGCTCCGTGTGAGCAGCGCTGCCTCCGCCGTCTGCCTCACACATCAGAAACCAGCTGAATCTTCAGCCAGCTTCCTGTCTCACTGGGGCTTTTTCTGCTTGTGTCTTGAGGATTGCTCATCTTGACTCAGGCCGTAAATCACTTTGCTCTTCTCCAGAAGCATGAGGGCACATGGTCCATGGAGACAAGCAGGGGCTCTGTGGCCACCTCAGCCAACCCGTGGTAGAAAGGCTCCCCCTCTTTCTTTCCTTATGTGTTTTCAGGAAATGAGTGTCACAGCTTTTCTGGCAGTGCTCTGTTAAGTTTTTTTTTTTAATGCTAAGAAAAGAAAAGCTTTTGTCAGAACACCCTCCCCTCCCCCCAAATTTGATAATTCGCAGTTGAATTCAGTCAAAGTTAGCCGGGACACTGTGGTGTGACCTCATCTCAAAAAAAAAAAAAAAAAAAAGCGCAAAAAAACCCTCAACTTACATGAGATTTAAACAAAACGAAACACCAGAGTTTGCTTTATTAGGTGATACATGGTACTATAACAGAGTTCTTAAGGAATTATCAATAAGGAGCTTGTTGTTTTACCATAATTACTTTGCCACTAAGACAGCGAGTGTTTACAAAAAAACAAAAACAAAAGCAAAAAGTACTCCCCTGGTCACTCACACAATCAGCTTTAGCAATGAAAGGTCCTCCACTCAAGAGCCACAATTTTAAGGATTAAAGCCATCTAGCATTAAATTCTGCGCTGCTTTGGAGCATCAAGTCACTGCGGTTACTCTGTTCTGAGACACTGTCCATGTGTTTCAGCACTTATATACGACATCTGTCAACAGATACACAAAGCAACCAGCAGATAAATGTGCTTACACAGCTGTGGGACTCTTCAGGTTTTAAATTGTAGTGGATTTTTTTTTCTTTTTGTTTTTTGGTTTGTTTGTTTTTAAAGAAAATAACCCAAACAACCAAAATTACCATGAGCCAGTGCAAGGGAAGGTGGGAAGACAAACAAATACTGAAGGACTGTGTGTGTTTCTTAGAATTGAAACTAAAATTTCTTTTCCAACTCTTTCCAATTTCCTCTAAGCATAGATGAGAAAAAAGGGAAACACTGTCAACAAGTTCCTTAAAAAAAAAAAAAAAAAAAAAAAAAGCGCAGTTTATCTTGAGAACAAACAAACAGCAACAAAGCAAAACCCTGCCCATAATCCCCAAAGGTAAAAATGTGTAGTGAGAGAAGCACAGTGACAACAGTGACCTACTTTGTGATGTTGTACAAAGCCTGATTTGGTTCACAAAAGCCAACAAACCTAACACTGCTCCCAGGACCTCTAAATGTGCCTGGAGATGATTAGACTGTGACGATGAGGCCACTGGCCTGGGACTGGTCATTTGTTTCACTACTTCAGAGAAGACTTCTATGTGCAGTCAGGTCCTGATGCCAGAGCCCAAGAGAAAGGGGCATGGGCAAGGGCAGACCATTGGCAGAAACCTGCCTGGAACAGGGAGGGAGCAGGGAGCAGAGTGAGCTGGGGTTGCCTATCATTTTCTTGAGGGGAAGGGGCTAGAACTGGCAGAAGAAAGATCCTGCTATAGGAATGGAATGCAGGAACTGCCACAGCCTTTGCCCACGAGGAGACTTTGGAAGGCCTGACTGTTTTCTGTGTCTGTTTTAACAGGTCACAAACATTCCCCTGTTGGGCTCCCCAAGAGCCTCAGGATGGCAAGAACTACCGAGAGATAAACTGGCTCCCCTCAACTTCTTGCCTGCCTTCTGCCATACCCAGCTAAGCAGTGGTGTGTTAGGCACCCCACAACTAAGGAGGATCAGATGTTAAGTTTTCAACTCTTATGAGCTCATTGACAAACATGGACTTAATAATCATATACTTTTACATAAATCAAATTTCATAGCCAGACATGATGACACACCTGTAATCCCAGCACTCTGTGATGCCAAGGTAGGACAATTCCAAGTTCGAACCAGCCTGGAAAATTGAGAGATGCAGAGAAAGCCTGTCTCAAAATAAAAAGACTTGGGATGTAGCTTAGTGCAAAGGTCCTGGTTCACCCTGGTTACCTCCTCCCCTCACCAAAAATAAAATGTCACAAACTTACAACTAAATAAAACTTATGGGTGTAGGCGGGGCTGGCGGAAACATGGCGGCGCAAGCGAGCGCCGCTGAGCTCCCAGACGCGGGGGCTCCTCGGCCCTCCGTGTGTCTGTTGGTTTTGGGAATGGCAGGATCCGGGAAAACCACTTTTGTACAGAGGCTCACAGGGCACCTGCATAGACAAAGCTCTCCACCGTATGTGATAAACCTGGACCCAGCTGTACATGAAGTGCCCTTTCCTGCCAACATTGATATTCGTGACACTGTGAAGTATAAAGAAGTCATGAAACAATACGGACTTGGGCCCAATGGTGGCATAGTGACCTCGCTCAATCTCTTTGCTACCAGATTTGATCAGGTGATGAAATTTATTGAGAAAGCCCAGAACACTTCCAAGTATGTCTTGATTGACACACCTGGACAGATCGAAGTGTTCACCTGGTCAGCTTCTGGGACAATCATCACCGAGGCGCTGGCATCCTCGTTTCCAACAGTAGTCATCTATGTGATGGACACATCGCGAAGCACTAACCCAGTGACCTTCATGTCCAATATGCTGTACGCATGCAGCATCCTGTACAAAACCAAGCTGCCTTTTATTGTAGCCATGAACAAAACAGACATCATTGACCACAGCTTTGCCGTGGAATGGATACAGGATTTTGAGGCTTTCCAAGATGCCTTGAATCAAGAAACTACATATGTCAGTAACCTCACTCGATCCATGAGTCTGGTGCTAGATGAGTTTTACAGCTCACTGAGGGTGGTGGGTGTGTCTGCTGTTCTGGGCACCGGCTTCGATGAGCTCATGGTGCAGGTCACCAGTGCTGCAGAAGAATATGAAAGGGAGTATCGTCCTGAATATGAACGCCTGAAGAAATCACTGGCCAGTGCACAGACTCAGCAGCAGAAGGAACAACTGGAACGCCTTCGGACAGACATGGGCTCCGTAGCCTTGGATGCAGGGACCGCCAGAGACAGTGCATCTTCCACGCTGGACCCTTCTGACTTGATCCTGACTCGGGGAACCTTGGGTGAAGAGGATGAAGATGCTGATAGTGACACTGACGATATTGATCACAGAGTTACAGAGGAAAGCCACGAAGAGCCAGCATTTCAGAACTTTATGCAAGAATCAAGGGCACAGTACTGGAAGAGAAACAAGAAATAAACCTTTAGGAAACTTCACTTGCTTCCACAAGTCCTGGATTCTGGACTTTCATGTGAATAAACTGTGCTTACCTGTGACTGGGGGGATATGTGAGCAATTTTATCACTGAGGAGTTAACAAGTTACCATGGCAGATCATTTGCCTAGCATGCCCTGGGCTCTGGGGTTGATGCCTAGAGCAGTAAAAAATATTTTCTTGAGAATAGCAGTTTCTCTTTTTAGGGAAACCTCATGACTCAGATGAAGTTAGGGAAAGGAGACTCTTGGAGCAAGCAAGTAGACGCGAATTCTGTCTTGGCTTTTCCCTTGTAATTATGTAAGGAAGGACATCTTAACTGCTCCCAGAAACTGATGCCCCTTCAGGCCATTTGAACTCCACTCCTGCTACTTGTGGCGCAGGGGACATACTGGCCTGATGATCACCTCAGATCTTGAGTATTGGCTGGATTCATGTCATCTGCCTCTCAGCATTGTGCTCTTGGCCAGAATTGTTTTCTTAGCACAGAGGGAAAGGAGAGGGTCAGGGGTTTGGTTCAGTGGTGCAACGCCTGCCTGACAAGCACAAGGTCCGGAGTTTGATTCCTGGTAACCCCACAATCAAAAGGAGAGGGAAAGTGAGCTTGTGGCAGTAGGATCTCCTTGGCAACCAGTCTGTTGGTATGAAATGTGTGTCACGCTATGTAGCTTTTCCCAGGACACCAGGTTGGTCAAGGAAAGTGGGCAAAGCGTGTGATTTCTTAATAAAGATCCTGTTTAAAAAAAAATAAAAATAAAAATAAATAAATAAATAAATAAAACTTATTTAAATATATATTTATTCAACTGTGTATATTTAAAAGAGTGGGGATCAAACTTTAAAACTCTCCTCTTCGTAATTATTTTACATGGCCATTATCTATGTTTTTAAAGTTATTGAAGCCTCTTGAATCTCTATGATGAAAATAAAGCCTGAGATTACTGTTCTTATCTTCTCAATGACATCCATTTAGGCATTGAAATCAGTCGAGGGTAGAGTTAATCCCACAACAATTAGCAGAGTATATAAATCCGACCTTCAATAGATTGTGCTGTTGATTGGATGAGTGTAAGAAAGTGACAGAGAAAGTGTAATGATGTAGACAGTGGTGCCGTGATTGTGGTCTTTAAATTGTGAATAGGATGCAAAAAATGTTTAGAAAATCCCATGTGATTCAGTGATGTCATTAGCATCGCTGGTGAATGGCTGGTGTCCTGACTTATATCTCTGTGATTTTACATGTCTTTAAGGGAACTGACTGACATTCATGTTGGAACTGCATTCATCAGTAACTGGAAGTTGGTTAGGGATATGAGTTAAGCTGGGACAAACAGGCATTAAGTGAGAATAAGTTGGCTATGTGGAATTTACAAAAAAGTTATTGTGCTTTCAAATGCAATGCATCATATTTTGCAAATTGTATTATACATCTTTCACATAAGTACATTTTATAACAAGCTCGTGCTTGTGTGTGTTTGTGTACACATATTGTTTTTTGGAAAGTTGACTGCTAACTGTGTACTGTACACTTCCGTCATAGTAACTGAGGGTAGATAGAGGGTGGGGTTGCAGCTGTAATCCCAGCACTCTGGGAGGCTGAGCCTGCAGGGCAGCCTAACAGCTTAGCAAGTCTGTCTGAAAGTAAAGATGAAAATGGTGTGGGGATATAGCTCAGTGAGGAGGTCCTGGGTTCAGCCTCCAGACCTGCAATTAATCAGTAAGTAAGATAATGGTTGGGTGAGTGAGATGCTATCTATAGTTATAAAATAGCACAGTGGATATAACTAAATGAAATGGGAACATGAGGAGCTCATATCTTTATACAGCTTGTTTCACATGGCTTTGACACGTACCATAAAACTACTCAATAAAGAAACAATTCCATTATAGCGTGGACCCCTCTGATTCAGCTCTTTTGCTGAGGCAAGGTCATCTATGTGATTTTAAGTGAATGTAATTTAGTACTTGGAACACCTTTTTGGAGGTCTTATTATCAACTGTGCTTCTCAAATAGCCAATGATCCAAGTCTGACTCCAACACTGATGTTTTTGCCTCTGGAGTCACAGCCACTGGATAGCTCACTCAGGTGCACCTCTATCCCAAAGACAGGCACTCACACTCCTGTTTCCTGTGCCCTGTTGTTTCCGGAATGAACTTCGTTCTTTAGCTTCATTAGCTTCATTATCAGACGTCTCTGCTACATTTCCACAGTGTCCTCTGCAGTCACACATCCAGCTAATTCTGAGCCATAGTTTGAAAGTATTTTCTGCTCCCTGCAACCTAAATAAAGCTCAATGAAAGCGTAGCTCAACTAAGTGAGGAGTAAAAATATTTAGATATATGGAGTGATGTCCTCACTGGGTGAATAGTGTACCCTCTCAATTCTTGTCTACCTGGAACCTCAGAATGTGACATTATTTGGAACAGTGGTCTTTGAGATATAATTAAAGACAAAATGAGATCATAATGACTTGATTCAGGTGCTCCTGGAATTCAGTGAGACTGTTTTAGAAGAGATAGGAAATTTATAGAGAGAGACATGTGAAGAAGGCCATGTGAAGATAGACAGATTGTTTTTTTTTTTTAACACCATGAATTGCCTTTATTTCGTATGCATCCATATTTCAGCATTTAGTGGTCCTGAATAGACAGTGGGATGATGCAGCAGGGGCCAGGAGGCCAGCGGGGGGCCAGGAGGCCAGCGGGGGGCCAGGCCGCCAGCCCGGGATCCGCTGCACACCGAGCGGCTTTGTCCCCACCGAGCTGCTTTGTCCCCACCGAGCACGAGAAGCAGCAGCAGCACCAAAGCCAAAGTCCACACTGGCTGCGTTCTTCTGTTCCAGTTCTCAGACTGCACACCGGACCCAAATGGAGGCCCGAAAGCCTGTGTAAACTTCTCCAGCTCCAAAGTGAGGTGGGTGGGGAAGTGGAAACAATCCAGATGGACTGCGCCTGCTTACGAGTATCTTCACATGGCCTTGCTTGGTCTGCCCACCAGGGACCTGGGGCACTGGCAGGTCTGCATGACTCCAGCAGCTGCTCTGTTCACCTCATCACACCTGAGCTGACATCGGCTGATGGTGGCAGCAGGCAGCAGCCCAGGGCCCGGTACTCACTTCCCAGGCTGGTGCAGAATGAATGACTGTGGTCCCAAAGCTAAAGGAGGGAGGTCAGAGACTCTTTTCAACCTTACCTGATGGCTTCTGGCCAGAGGAAGGAAGGGGAGTGGAGAGTGTTGGGGGTTACAGTGTGACAAAGGGAAGGAGGAAGAGGAAAAGCAGCACTCTCGATCAAGGTGGGGGAGAGATGGAGAAAGCCCTGAATTCCTCACCGAAGGCCAATTTCAGAGGGGGTTGGAAGGTTACAATCTATGCTTCAACCAAGGGTGGGAGTGGAGGAGAGTGGGACAGGTCGATGGCTTGGAAGGGGGTGTCACTTAAGACTTAAAAAAAGAAGCCAGGGCATAGGCAAAGCACCCCCACACCCAACAGTAGTCCCACAGGCAGCAACCTGAAGCCTTCACATGGCTTCAACCAGCCACCCAGGCCAGGGCTCCAGGCGGTGGAGGCGGGGTGGGGGTGGGGTGGGCAGGCAGCACCTGGGCCGTGAAATCAGCAGCAGGGTGATTGTGGGACGTGTCTTCTCACAATTAAGTTAGATGCGCCCCATCAGTCAAGATGGAGATCAATTTGAATATACTTTCTTGATCCCAGTTCAACTATGTGGACAGTGGTTACACCTGACAGGATGATTTGTTATAACACAACTTATATATTCAAATGGACAAAAAATTAGTATCATTTACAGTATCTTAAGATAAACTGCCTTGAATGGGAGTTTTCTTTCCAGTACTTTGAGGTCTACAAGTCCTAACTAGAAAATGTACTACTGTGGAAAATGAAGACTGTTGAAATTGAAGTGGGGTGCGGGCTGGTGGGGAGGGCCTGTGGGGTTTTTGATTAATTGCTGTAACACTGTCCTTCAGGGAGCTGAGGAAGTTTCATATTTTCTTTAGACATCATTAAACGCCGACTCTCGCAGAACAACTTTGATGCTATATGAATTCTGCCATTTTGCTAGCACTGATATGGCTCTTGGGTCCACCACTCCATTAGAACTATTAACTCCATTCATATTAATTTTTGTTACAAATCTTACAAAGGGGGGTGCTTCTGGGTATTTAGGTCCACATTCTATTTTAAGGCTGTATATTCGGTTTTCATAAATGGTTCTTGGAGGCCCAATTACAATCCCTGTCCATCTTGTAAGTGTCATGTCTTCATCATCTTCTAGGCCCCAGCTAATTGTGCCATCTCCTACTCCTTTCTGACCTTCTTTGAGTTCTTCCAACAGTCGGAAATTGCGAGGGACTTTTACTCCCAAGCCCGTGGTGGCTGCCATCTTGCGTCGCTCGACAGATTGGTTTTGTGTAGCTACAGATCTCTGAGAATTCAAAGGCTGGAGCAAGAAAGAGAGGTTCTTCCTGAGAGCCTTTAGGGAAAGTCTGGCCCTAGGGATGCATTGGTTTCATACTTCTGGCTTCCAGCTAGAAATTAATCACCTGCTAGAAATTAATACAGGACCTGGAAATACAACCCAACTCCTGGTTGCAGTTAGTACATCTAGTGTACCAAGCTCCTACCTTCAGCTATAGCCAGCAGGTGTTGACAGACCAAAAAGCAAATACATGCAAGAGATAATTCCTTGTATCTACAGAGGTATTTTTCAAAAGAATTTGTATTTACTACCTGTTGTCCTCAGAATAGCTTTATGAAGTCCACAAAGCTGATAGAGTTGTCAAGACCAATTTAGGAATCCTGATTCTGGATCAAGGGTTCTTCCTATTTTCCTGGATTTAGTCTATAACTATTCAAAAGGGTAGAGAGGAAGAAAATCTCACAAGTTGAACTCCCTAAATGTCTTGGGTTTCTACATACATTGTTCTGTTAGCTTCATAACATAAAAACCAGGCATAATCTTCTCCATTTTACACATTAAGGTAAGAGAACAGCTGTGTAACTCACTTTCCCAGTGGCTCAGAGACAAAAAATGAGGAAGGTTA